ATCACTCTCTTTTGCATTCGAGCCGTCAGCGAACAAGGACACAAGGAGTTATAGTGGAACAAATAAATCACAATTGGTGACCCCGACCAAGGTAATAAAATAAAATTATACAGAAAACAAAAACGAATAAGTCGTTTTTACGACTAAATAATTAAAGAGATAAAAAAAAACAAATTTTGCACACATAATTTTTTCATCGGAATTGTTGGCGACTAATATGAGCATGACAGAAGCGAGTCAGAAAATAAACAGCCCCAATTTGCTGCATCAGCACCCAGTCAAGCCGAACAAGGTCAGAGCGTAGAAGCGATAGGCGTGGTCAAATTACCACCTTTCCTTCACTCTGATCCCGAATTATGGTTCACGCAAATCGATGGGTTACTACATGTCAATAGAATAACATCAGATGTCTCCAAATACGACACAGTCATTACGGCACTCGACGCCAAAACTTGGCCAGGCAGCAGACATCGCAAAGATGCCTCCAGTTTCCGACAAATATGCAACATTAAAAGAAGAATTGATCCGACGCTTTGGTGAGTCAAAGCAAAAACAACTCTCCAAATTGCTTACAAACTTAAAGCTATCAGACAAGCGACCGTCTCAATTACTGCGTGACATGCGCAATCTAGCGAGTACAAACATTTCTGAAGATGCCCTTTCAACTCTGTGGGCACAACGCTTGCCCAGCAACGTTAGATGCATTTTGTCTGCATGCAACGCTGGCAGTTTGGAAAGCATGGCAGAATTAGCTGACAGAATCATGGACAATTTACCAACACCACAGTTCGTTATGGCTGCAACAACTGGTACTCATTTTAATCAATCGTCATCGCCGTTAGAAGCGCGAGTACTTGCATTAGAGACAGCAGTACAGTAAATTATAAGCAGCTTGGGTAAGTTAACGATGCAGTTAAAATCTAGCAGCCGTGGTAGAAGTACGGACCGTCGTCACGAAAAAAGAGATCGCAGGCAGAGCAATATGAGAAACAAAGTATGCAGTTACCATACACGATTTGGGTCCAGGGCGTTTAAATGCACTCCACCATGTGAATTCAGCAAGGCAGCTGGAAATCACAGCTCAACACCAACAGCGGAAAACTAAAAACGTTATCGCAAACAAGTGCGGCATGCGATAACGAACCTCCCTGCTACACGATCGAAACCCATCTCCACGTCTTTGACAAACTAAACAAATTGAACTTCTTAGTCGACACAGGTTCAGTTGTCTCAGTTGTACCAGTAGAGTTACATCAATAGTAAACCAAATCCAATTACAAGTGCAGTGAACAACACAACAATAAATATATTTGGAGTAAAAAGGTTGAAAGTTGACCTAGGTCTTCGCCGTGAATCTCAACGCTGCACAAAAATGGCAATCTCTTCACAATAATCAATAAATACATTGACCTAGCTAATCCCAACTCGTATCGCCTTCCGAAAGACTCGCAGGTTAACCACCGCATAGAAACGAATTGTCAACCGATAGCCGAGAAGCCGAGGCGTTATGCAGGTGAGAAGTTAACAGCCATAAAGAACGAATTCAGTACATTGCTTGAACAAGGAATAGTGCGACCATCTGATAGTCAATGGTCCAGTCCCGTTCATCTAATGAAAAAGAAAACCGGTGGTTGGAGAGCGTGTGGAGACTTTCGCAGACTAAATGCACATACTAAACCAGACAAATACCCAATACCGTTCTTGAATCAAATTTCTGAGAGACTTTTTGGCGCCTGTAAATTCTCAAAAATCGATATCAACCAAGCGTATTATAATATACCAATGGCCTTAGAAGACATCTGCAAAACTGCAGTAAGCACTCCACTAGGCATGTTCGAATTCGTTGTTATGCCGTTTGGTCTCAAAAACGCGACACAAACGTTTCAAAGACATATGGATTCTTTATTCAGAAATATTCCTTTCGTTTTCTGTTATCTCGATGAAAAAACCAATATTTTTCTCGAAACATGGCAGAACATGAAAAACACGTAGAAATTGTGCTAAATAAGCTACAGGAAGCACATCTTGGCGTTAATATTGCTAAATGCGAGTTCGGTGTTGATGAATTGCAGTTCTTGGGTTATCATTTGTCAGCAAGTAGCATGAATCCCCCAGCAGAGCGTGTAGAAGCCATTCAAAATTATGTCCGACCCAAGACAATACATGAAATTCGTCAATTTCTTGGAGTTGTCAATTATTATCGTAAGTACATTCCTCGAGCGGCACAGCTACAAGCACCCCTAAGCAGCCTACTGAGAGAATCCAAGAAGAGAGATAAAACAGAAATAGTCTGGACAACAGATCTAAACACATCATTTGAAAACTGTAAGGCAGGCATATCAACGTTAACTCAACTAGTATTCTTATCACCAACAGCACCTCTTCGTCTTTCAACCGATGCTTCCAGCACCGCAATAGGATCAGTTCTGGAGCAGCGAATCAATGACCAGTGGAAGCCAGTAGCGTTCTTCTCCGCCAAGCTTGAATCAGCAGAAGTAAATTACAGCACATATGACAGAAAACTCCTAGCAGTTTACGCATCTATAAAACATTTTCGTCATTTGCTTGAAGGGCGTCATTTTGTCATCCGCACTGACCATAAGCCGTTGACGTTCGCTTTTCAGCAGAAAGCCAATAAGGTATCTTCTCGTCAATTGCGCCATCTGAGTTACATTGCAGAATTCACGACCGAGATCGTGCATGTGTCAAGTGAAGACAACATAGTAGCAGATACACTCTCGCGGATCAACTCGATAGCCATGCCAGAAACTTGCAGCCTAGAGCGGATAAGCAAGCACCAGGAAGATGATGAAGAACTAAAGCAGTTGTTGTCCACAGGCACGAAATTACAACTGAAGAAATTGCAGTACCATTTATACCCAAATCTTTACGCAAAGAGGTATTCAACTTAGTGCATTCTTTGGCACATTCTGGTTCCAGATCCACTGCGTGACAACTCGCATCAAAATACGTGTGGCCATCAATGCGCAAAGATATAAACACTTGGGTTCGACAGTGTAAGGGTTGTCAGCAGTCCAAAATCAATAGGCACAACAGAATGAAGTCAAACGAATTTGTAAAAACCGATCAGCGATTCGAACATGTTCATTTGGATTTAATTACATTACCAGAATGTCAAGGTTATAGATACGCATTAACCATGATTGACAGGTTTAGTCGATGGCCAGAAGTGACACCCTTAAAAGACATGACCGCAGATACAGTAGTCGTAAATTTGTTGGTGCGCCGAAAGTAATAACAACAGACCAGGGAACACAATTCGAAGCAGATCTGTTCCGAGCTTTGACTGACCTGTTAGGAACCAAATGAACCGCACTACGCCTTATCATCCAGCAGCGAATGGCATGGTAGAGAGGTTCCACTGTACGCTAAATGCAGCACTAATGGCAAGACCGAAACATACATGGCTCCAATTATTTCCATCAGTTCTTTTAGGTTTACGAGTATCAGTGAAGGAAGACTTAGGAGCATCTGCTGCAGAGATGATTTATGGTATCAACCTCCGTCTGCCTGGAGAATTCTTTGAACATAATACCCAATCAACTTCGTCAACGCCTCCTAATCAATCAAATTTTCTAAACAAATTTCGTGAATATTTGCGTGAAGTGCTACCAACGCCAGCAGCACATCATAGCAACAGGCCAATTTTCATACATAAAGAACTCAACAATTGCTCACACGTTTTTCTGCGTTCAGATCACATCAGAAAACCACTAGAACCACCATATACAGGACCGTGTAAAGTATTGAACAAAATAAGTGAACGACTGTTCACAATTGAAGTAGGTGACAAAAAGTTGAATGTTTCAATCGAAAGATTGAAGCCAGCGTTCCTGGAAAATACAGATGTTCCAGCAGAACCGAAGTTCTTAGAAATCTTGGTAGACAATCCTAGGCCAAAGCATGACACAGCACTAGTAAGAAGCACGAAGAAAAAAGTTACGTTCGCCGAAGACCCGCTTCAATTAAACAACAGTCCATTGCAGTCAGACGCCATAGACAAAAAGAAGGTCACACTCACACGTAGTCTTCATCACAGTCCTTCGGCTATCTTCTAAGCGGGGAGTACTGTGGCGGATGTGGCAACCACAGATAATTATTAAGACACGGAAAGCACGATGGCAACGTTGTAACTTCACAAGCAAAAATTATATAAAAGCAGAACACAAGTAAGCATCAGTCTCTTTTGCATTCGAGCCGTCAGCGAACAAGGACACAAGGAGTTATAGTGGAACAAATAAACCACATGTATTTACTATAAAATACGTGTTTTCAACTCGATTGTTGAAATTAAAGTCTTTGTTTCTTATTTCATTATACAAAATAATACCGTTTCTTACCGTTTCCTTACCGTTTCTATAAATTTAGAATAAACAAGTAGCAACAATTTAAAGGGCGATGAGTTGATCATGCCATTAAACTTCTCCAAATTTATAGAAGCAGTTTGCAATTATTGCTTAAAGGTAGCAGCGGATTAATACGGATTATGTTATTCCTTCCACCTTTTTAATTTTAAAACATAATTTTTTTTCATCAGTTTTACAATTCCAGTTATTGATAAGTTATATAGTGTAATATATTTACATTAAATTATATGTATAATAGATATAAATTATATTGTATAATATAGTATAATACTACTTCCTAAAAATATAAATTATTTATTCAAGAGCTACAAAATACCAAGTATATTCACTTTTCTTTGTCCAAAAGGCTTGAGTCTGATTTATATTTTTCTCTATATTTGTTTGAATGTATGGCGTAATTTTTTTTCTTACGTTTAAAATGTGATTTAAACTTTTGCTAGTCTGCTCTTAAATTTAACGACAAAGTGATCTTTGTCGGCGTCCCTGTTTTGATTCATAACGTGAACTCTTTTAAATGGGTTACTTTTTTTATTTAATCTTTTTCGTAATTTTTCCGCGTCAACATACTTAGTATCAATTTCGTAATCTTTTCTGTTCTTGTTAATATTACCGATTCGTTTTTCTTTCTCTAATCGGGTGTTTTTTGTGGGAGTGTGGTTATTAAAAAATATATTATAAGGTGTCTCT